GCAGTCAATAAGGCCTATTTTGACTTCCAACTAGCACTGCAATTTCTTCCATTCTATATCCTCTTCCTCTCTTTCTTTCTCACATTGTTCATTTTTTCCAAAGCATTCATCATAAAAATGCACTTTTAAATTTACCAGCCATTGTAAAAGAAAATGAGAGACATGAAAGTAGAAATTTTTGTGTTTAATTTCACTGACACATAAATGTTTGCTGAATTAAAGAATATAGATTTAAGTTTTAAATAACTAGACCTTACCATTTTAGGGAGATATTATGATTTTTCAGGAGCAGAGGTCACAACTTATGTTTCAATAGACCTAATATTTTTGCTAATTACTAATACTGTTTTGATTACTATAGATTTCTAATATAGTTTGAACCAGGAAACATGATGCTCCCTGCTTTGTTCTTTCTTTGGCTACTCAGGATCTTTTGTGGTGCCATACAAATTTTAGGATTGTTTTTCCTATTTTAGTGAGAAATATCACTGATATTGAACAAAATTATTACTATACCTATTCTAAATTGATTTGGATACAGGTTTTCGTTCAGAATAATAATGACATTCTTAGTCCTAACCTATCCACGTATCTCAAAATTTGTACAGGTGGCTACTAAAGGTACTAGTATAATCGATATGGATGTTTAAGAGTGAATGAATCACCACTTCCTGAAAATTAAAGTGCATTTATCAGGATGACTGAACTTTTACAACTCTTAAGAGTTAAATTGGTTATAAGGACCTGGAGGACTTTTGGCAGGAAGAAGCGTGATAGTAAAATCACAAATGTGGAAGAAAACTTTTCACTAAAGGTGGTACGGGTTCATGTTTCCTTCAATCTATCCTAGGCCCCTTGGTGGTGGTACTGAAGATACCCAGGTCTCCTTTGGGACAGCACGAAGGAAGAAAAGCAACTGCCACAATTACTAAGGCTTAGTATAATTTATGATTCAAGTATATTCCTTTAAGATTTCAATGTTGTCCACTGTGCAAGCATCCCCCAAAATCTTGTTCTGTGCTCAATTAATATTATTATAACTGCAAGTAGGTATTATTAATACCTACTTATTAAGTAGGTGGCAGTTTGTAACAAGAGCAAGTGGGAGCAATGAATCCTTTAGTTACCTCTCAGTGGGACCCCTATGAGCTCTTGGTTCGTGTCTCTCTCATGGTTGAAAAAATGTAAACACTGGACAGTTTTCTCCTCATTATTTGAACTTAAAGCCTTAATGTATTTTATGCTTACTAACTAATCCTTATCTAGTTCCCACCTTCAATATAACACATTTAAAATTTGATCAATATTATATGACAGTTTACAAATTAGTCTAGACTGGGGAAAGACCAAAACATTCAGGTGAAACAGATGAAAGCAAAGAACAAGAAAAAAAAAATTGAGTTATGAAGTCAAGGTAATAAATGTAGAGTAATAACATTAACAAAAGTAAGAAAGTTAGATGAGGAAGATTTTGATGGCTATTTAGATGATTAGGTTTTAAATATATTGAATTTGAAATGACAGTAAGAAGTTCACGTGGCAACATTCACAGGAAGGGGGAGAAATGAGATTGTAACTTGGTAGAAAGCAGACTGGAGTGACATATTTTGGGGTCTTTCATATACAGATGATATTTTTAAATATAGAAGGGATCTCCAAAGATGAACTTCTTAGTATTAAGTACCAACAAGAGCACAATATCACTTATACAGTATTCTTGCCAATCAGGACTTGATTCTGGGATGAGGAAATTTCAGCCAAACTGAAACTGAAGGTCTTTTTTTTTTTTTTTTAAACAAAATAACTGGTCAATATTTTTCTAAAATGTCAAGGTTATGACAGACACTGTAAGACTAAGGAAATGTCATAGATTGGAGTGAACTAAATAAGCAGAAAATTAAGTGGAATGCAGAATAATAAATTTGATCCTGTACTATAAAGGGACACTAGTGGGACAACTGGTAAAATTTATAGATTAGTTAATAACATTGTTGAAATGATAATTTATGGTTTTGATTGAGCTGCGGTCATATAAGATATTAACTTTTGGGGGAAGCTGGGTTAAAATATACAGTAATCATTTGTTCTAGTTTTGTGATTTTAAATAAGTCTCACATTGTTTCAAAATGAAAAATTAAAATTAAAAAAATTAAGAAAAGAAGATATAAAGTTCAGTGTAACTGTGGATTCAGTAAGAAACTATAATTTGCTAAATAACTCAGTTTGCCTCAGAAAATTAGTCCCTTGGTTGCAATCAGACATGCTAATAGAAATGATTAGGTTCTTAGTCTCCAAACTAGGTTATTCAGGATGGTATAGATGAGTAAAGGAACTGGAATGGCATTCAAGAACAACAGCTCACTCATCAACATTAATCATGCTCTTCATAATTAATACAGAATTCAGAAAAGCTTTTTTATTATGATTGAGTCCCAACATGAACTTATGAGGGAGGTAAGCTTATTACTCACTTTCTAGATGAAAAAAGTGAAGTTGAGAGAGGCAAAGTGAATCAAGGTCACACAGACAGCAGAGAGTGGTGCTGAAACAAGTGTTCTGATTCCAAACTCAAGCTTTCTCTACTACACTGAATGCCTCTCTTCTTATGACATATATATATATATATATATATACACACACACACACATACATGTATATATACATATACACGCACACACTCGCGCGCGCGCACACACACACACTCACACAGTTATATACCAAGTCTTCCTCCTTTCAAAACAAAGAGATGTGAGCCAAAAAAGTAAGGTTTCTAAGGCTTGACTTTATCACAGAGTAGTTATGGGATCTAGAGTTAGTCATTTTAAGTTTCCAGCCTCTAATTCTCAATATCAAACAAGAAAGTTGGACTAAAGTATATGCAATGTCTATCCTAGTATACCATTCCACATTTCTAATCCTCTGATCTATTTACTGATAAATTTTCAGTGCCTGATTGCTATCTTGCTCCCAGATGATATTTTGTACCAAATCCAGAGGAAGGAACAGATGAGGACACCCTGAGCAAAAAGTGGCACCATATTCTCAAACTTCCATCCATGTAAGTGGAACTACTGGCTGAAAAGAAATAAAATTCTTATGGTAGCAACAAGCATGATTTAGCAATAATATCATTGTGAGCTATGTATTCAGGACTCTACAGTGGTTTAACATTCCCTCTTGCTCATCTCAGGAATGTCCCTCATATTTGGCATCTTTCTTTCCCTCTGCATCTGTTTGTCCTATTTATCCTTCCCATATTATTGTGAAGCTTCTTAACTTGTCTTCCTGCTATAAATGTTTCCCCATTCTAAGTCATTACCTACCCTAGTGCTATGAGTATCAAGGCAAACAAAACCTAATTCGCTGATGTTAAACTATGTTTAAAATCTTCCAATGGTACTGTACCACAGTCATCAGGATCAATGCCAACTCATTAGCATGGCAAACATTTCCCCTACTCTTTGCTGTTTGATGTACTTTCTGGTCAAGATAATCTTTCTTCTCCATACTCTGTAAGTTCCAGCTACATCAAACTTCTTGCCATTTTCTAAACATTCAAGTTCCAAGGGTGTCTGCCCATATAGTAATTTTGTGCCTTCCACCTTTCACTGATCGAGATTCAAGATCTGGTTGAAATATAACCTCTTCTGTAAAAGTTTCACTCTCATAGTTTAAATATAGATTATTAGAGCACTAATGATTTATACTGTAACGATTTATATGCCTTATATCCACACTAAAAGATCAGCTTTCGGAGACAGGGAATGACATACACTTATCTTTAAGTCTCAGTGTCTAGTATAACATCTGACAAACAGGTGCTAAATGATGACCTACCTGTAGTGCTTATACTAAAAGACTCCTTCAGAATTCCTGCAATTTCAGCTCTTTATGCAAGTGTTTTACAGATAACTCAAAAATTCTTCCCCTACAACTTCATAATCCTCATCCTCTGAATTTCAACTACACTCAAGTCATCAGTACTGAGTAATTTAGTACATTTCTTTTTTTAAAAAACAAGATTTATTTTATTTATTTATGCATACAAGAGCAGGGGTATAGGCCGGAGGTGTGTTTGTGTGTGTGTGTGGTAGGGGGGGGGTGAGAGAATACACCAGAGTCAGAAAGGGGAGCAGAACAGGCAGATCTACTGAAATACTCTGCTGAGGGGGCGAGACAGGAGAGGACTGCTGCGCCATGTGGGTCAGCTCCCTGTCTGGGGACCGAATTAATGCCGCAGTAGCTGTTGATAGCTTAATAGTGCTGACTTTAACCTCTGCACCACCAGGGAGGCCCCTAATTTAGTACATTTCTTAATGACTGGAGGTATCTTCTCTCCCTAACTACAGCGATAACTCCTAATGTAAGTTCTAATTAAAATAAATAATAAATACACACAATTATTTTCTAATATTACAATATATTGTGATCATCTAATTCTCTGAGAAAATTCATGCAACTGGAATGTCCAATGTTCTAAGTTTTTATTATATATCTGATATTACAGATTTTTATTTTATATTTTTTAAGATTTATTTATTTATTTATTTATTTAAGCACTGGGTACAATCAGAAGCGCGGGAGGGTGAGAGAATTCACCACAGCGGGGAGCAGAGCAGGCAGAAGGACCGAGGTACACTGCTGAGGGGAGCAGCGGGCAGCAGGAGAGGTCTGCGCGCCATGCGGGACCCTCCTCTGGTGGCCGGGGAGCAGCCGGGGATCGAACCGGCGCTGCAGAGGCCGCGGGCAGCTTCGCAACCCAGCGCTCAACTGCTGTGCCACAGGGGAGGCCCCTGATATTACAGATTTTTAAATGAAATTAAAAAAAATTACAAGGGGAGTAGACAGAAGAAGACAGAGACAGATGGGGGCGGGGGGAGAGAGAGATAGAGAAATAGCGACAGAGACTGAGAGAATTTAGAGATTAGAGTTTGCTACTTTCAAACATATTTTCTTTCAGGGCAAAGCAGAAAGATAAATGTTGCCCTGTGCTTACTTACCTGGGGTTCATGATAAGTCGTCGGAAAAAGTAAGTCCAGGTGATATAATCCATTGCATCTTGCTTAGATGTTATTGTGCCACCAGCAATCTCTGCATTTAAATGATCAGAGAGTACTCCCAAAAGGCTATATAGTAACAAACATAGAGAAAACATAAACAAACATGAAATGAAACACACTTTATCTTACACAGTAGATTCATTTTATGTTTCAGGCAACAAATGTGTTTTGTACAGTATAATCTATATTTAATTTTTTGGAAAATAACTGTTAGAATGGAATAAATACCGGTCAACAGGAAAGGAGCTAGTACGTTTTAGGAGGAGAAGGTGAGAATCAAAATAAAAGCAGACAACAGAAGATATCTTTGAGAGCAGGGAAGATATACTTATAGTGTATTGGTGTAAGTATGGGATAATACTGAAGCAGAAGGAGAGCTGGCAATAAAGGGATGACAGCCCTTCACAATAGAACAAAGCTGTAACTTTCATTCAACCCAATAATATTAATTCTCCAACCACATAAGATATAATTGGACTAGAAGTTGCAGAGTGTACAACAATGATCAAGTGTGTTGAAAAACTGGCATAACAAACTCTTCATTTTAGATTCTTATGTTATAAAAAAAGGAAATAATGAGCAACACAAGAAAAGATTAATAAGTAAATGATGAGACATGGAACATTTAATATTTATTTGGAAATTTTAATATTTATATTAAAAAACAGTTTTTAAAATTTCTTATTTTTGTGTAGAAGAACGAGTATGTAGAATAGAGGTGCGGGGGATGAGATGGTTCACCAGAGACAGAGTGGGGAGCAGAAAAGAAAAATGTCTTGTCCTTTGCAGTTAGGATATGGTAAAGGAAAGAGTATAGTCAAAGTCTGTGATAAAAAGTAGCAAACGATAAATGTTTTCAATGAAAAATGTATAAGTGAGGGCAAATAGTTATTTTCAGCTGAGAAAAGGAGAAAAGAATTTGTTAAAGGAGCAGTAGTTACTACAATACACACCAAACTAATTATTAAATGTTTACTATGTGCTTATCACTGTACCAGGCCTTAAACATTTGATCATTACAAGTACTTTATATGAAATAGCTATCACTGCTGCTGTCTATTTCATAGATTAATATACTGAAGCATGGAGGATTTAAGTAAGTTGCTTGGTACCAAGCATGTAAATGGTGAAGATATCATGTAAATCGAAGTTGTCTGGCTCCAAATCGAAGTTGTCTGGCTCCGGAATCAATGAGACTGACATTGTACTAAAATTGCTTCTTAAAAAAAAGTTTTTTAGTGAAATTTTAATTGTATGTTGTCTTATAGCAATGATAATATTCAATTTCACTTCAAGTAACTTTTAAACTACAAAATTTACTGGTTTTTATCTAAATGAAATGGAAACACAAATATTATTTTTTTAATTAATGGATTCATTTAAATTAATTCATAGCACAAGTTACCTTGATTCTACAGGGAAAGGTTCATAAAGAAATTTTTTGTAAAAGTCTTTCTTTATGTCATGAACCAGAATTACAGCTTTGCCTTGGTCATCAAACTGAGGCCTCCCAGCACGCCCCATCATCTGGAGTACATCTGTAAAAAAAGAGAAGCAGGATTCTGCAGGATGGCACATTATGGTATGTTTCTACACTGCAACAAAGTAACAATTGAATAGAAAATTTATGAGCAAGTGTACTATCTGTGATGGCTACTATTGAGTTCCCTAAAAACTAAATGATCAATTCATTCACTATCATAAAAAATAGATTCTCTGACTGTAAAAATAACAGAGATGAAAGCTTCCTTTAGTTAAATGCTTAAGAATACTGTTTAAAAATTATTACTATTTTAATTAAGTTAGAAAAAGCAATACACATACAGGAAAATCTCTTCAGCAGAGTCATTTGATTATTTTTCCTGACAAATAATGGGCCATTTATTTCCTCCCTCCCACTCATTTCTCTTATACTGCAGGAACTTCCAAGTAATGATTTAGAAATGACATAATTATAACATGCAGTCATTGAGTGGAAATACATATTGATTATATTTCTCTTTAGAGCCCACTGGAAATACTTTTAATATGTTAATAGACTCAAGCAGCAACAAGGGCTTTGGTTCTAGATGTCCCATGGAAGTATCATTTTTAGTGAGACAGGCTTAAAATTAAATATAATATTTAATTATAAGTTTTTAAATCACTAATGGCTATAAACTAGTAATTTTATCAATTTATGAATGTGAAGCCATTAGTTATGCTTCTGCTTCTGATGTTTATTAACAAAGAAAGTAAAAGCAAATAAAACAGTTCAATATACTGAATAATGTTACACTAGAAACAAAACGTATAATTCATTTATTATATTTTAAATATGACCAATTCTCTACAATTTAATCCATCCTAATTCAAATTTTAAGGTTAAAGTAGAATAGTAATATATCTATAAAATTAAAAAAAATAACCTGTAATGGGAAAATCCACATAACGTCTTGTTTTTCCATCATAATATTCTGTTCCTTTAATAATTACTAAATGAGCTGGAAAGTTTACACCCCAGGCTAATGTGCTTGTAGCAATTAGAACCTAAAAAAATAAAAGATAATATCTTCTATTTAGATGAAGGAACTTTCAAGTTACATTGAAGTATCTGTTCATGGAATCAAGAAAAACAAGAGAGACTATAAATAGTTAGGACTACACCAAACTATAAAGCTTCTGTACAGTGGAAAAACTTTAATTAAAACAAAGACACTCTGGGAGAAAATATTTCCACATCATACATCTGAACAAGGGGCTAGTATCCAGTATCTACAAATAACTGATATAATTCAATGAAAAGAAAACAATGAACCCAATCAAAAAATGAGTAGAAGAGCTAAAAAGACACTTCTCCAGAGAAGACATACAGATGGCTAGCAGGCACATGGGGGAAAAAAAGTAATTATATAAAGTAAAAATCAAAATCAACAGGCAACTATAAACCAGAGACATTCTGCAGTGGGGGAGAAGAGAGTAGGATCAAAAAGGGGGTGTGAGGAGCACAAGGGACTATGTGATAGTACATGGGTGAATGGGTTCTGGGAATTTCACAGGGACTATAACCAAGATCAACCATACATTGTACAAAAATGAAAAATGATGTAAAAAATATATAAAATAAAATAATGAAAAAAATGCTCATCATTACTTATCATCAGGGAAACGCAAATCAAAACCACAATGAGCTACCATGTCATACTTGTCAGAAAGGGCCATATCAAAAAGACTACAAACAACAAATATTTTCAAGAATGTGGTGAAAAAGAACTCTCATACAATGTTGGTGTGAATATAGACTGGTCCAGTCCATATGGAAAACAGTATAGAGATTTTTCAAGATATTAAAAATAGGGTCTCCCCTGGTGGCGCAGCTGTTGAGCCCTGGGCTGCAAACCGGCGAGGGTCCCACATGGTGTGACAGACCTCTCCTGTCGCGCCTGCTGCTCCCCTCAGCAGTGGATTTCATCATCTGCCTGTTCTGCTCCCCACTCTGGCTCTGTTTAATTCTCTCACCCTCCTGTGCTTCTGACTGTGCCCAGTGCTTGTATAAATAAATAAATAAAATCTTAAAAAAAAAAGAGATATTAAAAATAGATCTACCACATGAACCAGCAGTTCCACTCTTAGACATCTACCCAAAGAGTGCAAAACCACTAATTTGAAGGGTTACATGCACTACTTTTCATGTCTGCACTATTTGTAATAGCCAACCTATGGAAACAACCTAAATGCCCAAAGACAGTTGAATGAATTAGGAAGATGAGGCATATATACACAATGGAACTCTACTCAGCTATAAAAAGAGATATACTCTTGACTTTTACGACAACATTTAACATGCTAAGTTAAATGAGTCACCAGGAGATACAAATACTGAATGGTGTCACTTAAATGTGGGATATGGAAAACCAAAACAAAGGGTCAGATATAGCCAAACCAATAGCAAACTCTAGAAATCTGACTGTAGAATTGAGGCTACTAGAGGGGGAGAGATGAAGAGGAGAATAAAATGAGGAAGAGGCACAATGGACTATGGTGGAGAACTTTCAGTGCCTTGGTGATTGCTGTGCTATTATGACATATACCTGAAGGGTGTGAACTTAAACCCTTAAATCATTTATAGAGTTGTAAACCAATGTTAGATCAATTAAAAAAAAAAAAAGCAAAGATAATGAGAAGGGGAAAAAGAATACCTGAACTTTACAGTTTACAAATAATTCCTCTACTGTTTTTCGGTCCCTTTCATGAAGTCCAGCATGGTGCATTCCTATTCCAAAAGCAAGTGTCAGCTTTAGGTTGGAATCTCTTAGTGTTCCAATGATGTTCTCCATCTGCAAATAGAAAATCAATTACAAGATGTAGATGCATTAGTTTAAAATTGTTCATATGAAGACTGTATTTGATTTTTTTTTTTTTTTGCTTCTTAGTATATTATGAGCATAAAAATACAGGCCCCATCTACTGTTATGATTATAATGAAATAAAATGAAAAGAATATTTAGTGACTATGCATATTCTAAGTGAAGAAAAGTTTAACTGCAACAAGGAAAAATACCTGTGAATCAATGGAATGTTACCTTAATAAGTAACAATTATTAAAAGGGATGTAGTGTTGCCTAAAGTATTTCAGTGTCTGTGTTTATCTGCTGGGTCAAAAAGACTTCTATCTTTTTGGGTCAGTGTTAAAAATTTTAAAAATCATTCATAATCCCATCAGATAGCAAGAATCATTCAAATTTAGGCTTTCTTACTAAACTCCGTCTCAGAGGAAGTCATATATCCTCTCTAAACCTTAGTTTCTTCAGTTAAAAAAAACAAAAATATTTTTGTTTGCTTTTCACTTCTTTGCTCAATAATGCAGCTAAATGCTTTTCATATTTACTGACTTTTCTGGGTGTGTATTAAGGATATCAATGCCTTTCCATCATGTTATAATACTTTCATCCAGTTTTCTATTTGCATTTCATGTATATATAAATGTTTTTTTACTTTATGGAATTAAATTTTTAAATTCGCCCCCTGTGCTTTGTTGCTTAAAAAACATTTCTTCCTCTTGAGGATCAAGTATGTATTTACTTATTATTATTACTTCAACTTCTGTTGTACTTTTATTTTTATTTAAATAATTAATCTGTAATTATTTCATAGTAGTATGATACAAATATAAATTTATTTTTTCTAAATAACCAGTTATTCTAGAAATATTGATTAAATACCTCACCTATTTTAAATAACTTTTATATATACCAGCGTTGAATTTTATAATAGATTTTATTTCCAGTCTCAATTTAGCTCACTCAGTTTAATATGTCTAAGTAGTTTCTGAAATTCAATTTTTTAAAAATACTCTCTAAATGCTCTCTGAATACTGATCATTTTCTACTGGACATGGAAATTATTTGAATTTATGGCAAGAAACCAGCAAATCTTGTTTTTACGAACTGGTACTCCTTGTAAAGAATTAAATAGAAAGCCCAATCTCCTTCTATTTAATGAAGATCTCTACTGTTTAAAAATACAGGATGACACAAGATACAGCTTGGTGAAGTTCTTTCTGGGCAAGTCCATGCAGGGAGTAATGCTGATATCAAGTGGCTTGAGAATAAAGAATGCTTAAAAGAAGGACCTTCTTTAGCTATGGCTGTAACTTTATTACCACATGTGAACAGTAAACAATAGTGGAGGAGGTACTGGGAAATAGGTATGCATATATATCTGCAGACTGAAAACCTGGTATTGTCTTCAGACTTCATTTCCTTCTCCCATTTCACTATTACCTTTAATATACTCAAGTATACCTGCAACACACTTTGCTGGCTACACATAAAATAATAAGTAGCTCAGAAATCTCTATCCTGTAGAAAGCTTAGCTTGGCTGTTGCAGTATAGTAAAAAATGCTTAAGACAAACACCCATATAATGAAGCACTCCAATTGTTTTCATTATTATTCATTTTGTTTTTAATTTTTGGAAAATTTTCTAAGCTTTGGAAACAAGATGTTTCACACCAATAATAAAAAAATGGAAAGATTAAATTTGATTAAATTTGTAACAATTTTAATGTACAAAAAGCACTGCCTGGACTAGGTAATCTTTTAATGAAATACATATCAGAAATATTGTTCAACTTTCCCTGAACAGAATGCATTTAATAAACAGTTAATTCTGTACTACAGTCACAGTATGGTCACCTGAGGTTAGTGCATTATTTACTTTATAAGCAAGAATATGGAATATGTTAACATAAATCCACTTTACCTTTTAATTAGCATAGGATAAGTAAGCTAACTTATGTATAACTTAGCTTACATAAGTAAGCTAACAAATGCATACTATCAAGAAAGGCACTTGCTTATTTCATAAATTATGTTGGCCATTTTTTTGTTTAATAGTACACTGAATAAAATATCTTTAATTTACACTATCAAGAATTAAGTCACTGTTATTTTTGCTCTGACAATGAGTTTCAGGGGTTTTCTTTTTTAGTTTCACAGAATATTTTTGTTACTTGTAAAACTCTTAGAGTTTCAGGGCAATGCAAACCATATCCAAAAAGCAATGTACCATTTACCATAGGAAAACTAAAGAATACGATGTCAGTTAAGCATTAGTATCCTTTCCTTTTCCATTATGGAAGGGTAGCTGTTGTTCATTCTCCCTGCCCCCACTTTCACATAAATCAATGCATTAAAAAGAACTATCTGCCTATCTGAACAGGCAAAGACCTAAAAGTCCTCATGAGAACAATTACAAAAAAGCAACTTCATTTATTACATGGTTACTGTGGATGAGTTCTGCGTTATTTGACCACAATAAAAAAGTGAAATTTATAGAAACATTACTCAATCATCAAATAAAATGCTACTAGAACAGCCTGTTTAAATTTGAAAATGTAATTTTGATTAAATTTTATATGTTATTACTGTTATATTTATTACTATATGTTATTTTACTGCTTAAAATAAAAATAATCTTCATCTTCATTAAAAATCATAATACAAGTGGACATCTTTAGGAATTAGGAAAATGAAAGCTTAAGGCATGATAACAGAAATTATTTGTTGAGTACTTTTCAGACATTGTGCTGACAACTTTACAAAAATTTTCACATTTAATTTTTTACATAAAATAATATAGTTTTGATGTAATACACAATTCATTAACACAATCAGGTAAATTTCAAATTTAAAGACTCCGTGAACTTGAATACTGTTAAGTAGCCTTTTTCAACCTTGCTTCCATGAGAGAACTAAGTTCTACAAAAAAATCTGAATTACCATCTTAAGTTTTCCAAAGATTGCTAGCATCCATTCTAGGAGGCTAAGAGAAAACTACATACAATGGATGCCTTTGGACACTGAGGCAATTTTTGTTAAGAAAGGGTGCTATATAATTTTAAAAAGAACAGTAATTATAATTAAAATACTTTGATAGAGGAAGTTTTAATTTCACAGTTCATTTTTCAGCTAACATTTATTGTAATGCACATGTATCTTTCCAACAAACAGCCATTGAAATATGTTTAGCTACCTGATAGTTAAACCAAAAGAAATATTTGATATTGTAAATAAAATAAAAACAGATCTTTGGTCCTCTTAAGTAATGGTCTTATTCTAGGGTGGTGGGGGAGGAGCAGGCACATATGTAAACTGTTGAACCAATTATTTTAACTTAATAGATTTTTTTTTTATATTTTAAATTTATTATACTCAAAAAGCTTTTGTAGAAAGATAGGATTCCATTTAAGTAGATACATTACTCTGTGCTTGAAATACATTCCAGTCAGAATATAATTCAGTGAGTTGATGACAATGCTGGCTCCAAAAGAAAAGAGGAGACCAGATTGGACAAGAATGAGCTAACAGATTGTGCAGCCCAGTTCTGTCTCTTTGAGTGTGATGTATTGTTTCAAGATGCTAAAAACTCATACTTTCTCAAAGCATATCTGCTGTGCTGGTTTTCCCATTTTCACAGAATCCTCATTATCAGAACCCTGTACTCTTTTCAAAGCACGTTAGGCTGAGACCATATGCCACTGAATAATGCTTATCAATTGTCTAAGCGCTCAATAAAAGATGCACCATACAAAAGAATAATGAAAGTTATGAACACTTTTCTTTACAAAAATAACTAAATAAACCACATCTGGCACAGATGTTAAACAAACTTAAAACATTTCCTTATAATAAGTGTTAATTTCTTAAAATATACTTCTGTATAATACCTCTGTAGACTGAAGGGGAAAAAAATTAAATTGGAAAAAAACTTTAGAACATCTTATTGATACACTAACGGGAAATAAAAATATTAAAGATAGTAGTTTCCAAACTTTACCAATATTCCTTTAACATATTCTCTTATTGCCCCTCTGAAGTCTCAAAACAACCACACAAAATGATTCATTATACAGTTAATATGTAAGTATATTTATATGTGATTAAATGGTCACATGTGAGTTAATTATATGAAGCCTAAACAATAACGTGTAACTTTTTGCTGTGTCCACTAGTTAAATACCATTTTCACTGTATTTGTTTTTTTAGCTTGGCTGATTTTTTCCCCCCCCCAAAGATTTATTTATTTATTTATACAAGCACTGGGTACAGTCAGAAGCGCGGGAGGGTGAGAGAATTCACCAGAGCCAGAGCAGGGAGCAGAGCAGGCAGCAGGACCGAAGTACACTGCTGAGGGGAGCAGCGGGCAGCAGGAGAGGTCTGTGCGCCATGTGGGACCCTCCTCCGGTGGCCGGGGAGCAGCTGGGGATTGAACCGGGGCTTCAGAGGCTGCGGGCAGCTTCGCAACCCAGCACTCAACCGCTGCGCCACCGGGGAGGCCCGGCTGATTCTTAATGATACCAATATCAATGGGCTACAGAATGAGATATTAAAGATTTTTCGTATTAATTATTTTAAATTTACTATGCTACTTAATGGATTTAATTAACTAATTAATTTAATTCACAATGCTCTTGGTAGGAAATCCTGCTATAATAGCCCCATAATTTTGTACATTTTATGCCTTTATTTTCATTTTTGAAGAGTTCTGATTCCAACCTATAAGTGGAAATTATTTCCATACATTGAAAAGTGTTTTAAATGCATATAAAGCTGATGAATGGGAAATTACATATATTAATTTTCTAAAGCAGCATAAAATTAAATGAACAATTACTGTAATACTTAAGAATACTCCATATAAATAGAATGAAATACTATATATGAACTATATTTGAGAAGTTTAAAATAAGTTTAAACTTTGTCACAGAACTTTCAGCAAAAAGAATCTCTTTATAAGGTATTATTCAATGGTGCCATAATTATACAAGTAGTAA